ATGATACCGCCGACGTAGCCTGAGCAGGAGCCGGCGGGGGTTCCTGCGGGGCCGCAGGCGGCGCATCTTGAGCAGGCAGGTCTCCCTGCTGACTGGAGTCTGGCACAATTTGCTCTTGTGCGAGTGGTAGTGCGTCAGGACTGTCTGGGTCATAATCCACCTCCTCGTCTTTACCATTGACTTCCATCATGAGGATGGTGGTCTCGTCCTCGCACATTCCACATCCATCATCTTCTTCGACTTCTGACGTAGGGTTGCCAATGACAATGGTCATTGGCCCAGCCGGGACTGGCAGGTTTCCCTGCTGTGCAGGCGTCTGAGCATCGCTTGGCCGTCCCAGAGTCGGCGGTACGGTAGTCGGCTCAGGCTCGTTACCGAGCATAGCGTGCGCCTCGAGATGATCATAGTCATATGAAGGCTGCCCGATAACATTTCGCATGGCCGTGTGGTTGGGCTGTAGTCCCGCCGCCTGGAGACCCCATCCCGGCGGAGGGAGAGCCTGTCCACGCATGGAGATAGCCCTTTCAAGGGCTTGGCGCCATCTCCCTCTAGAATACCACACATGTCGCTGCACGTCCTCAGGGTGCACGCTGTCGATGAGAGTAAGGGCCGCTAACAAGAACTCCGAGTCGTCACAGGTATCGGTGTCTTGTAGCATCATGTGGCCACTCTCGACACTCTCTTGACTCCCGGGATATGCTACGACCAGTACAGCGTGCATCTGCATGAGAGTCTGCAGTATCGCGTGCGGTCCGTACTCGCCTGGCGCGAGCATGCCAGGTGGTACGTGTGGGTTTCCTGGCGCGCCCACGGTGAATGCTTGAGCCTCTAATTCCATCAGATCACCATAATTTGGAGGATATACTGGAGTGGGCCTGTTTCCAGGCATGAGGTCGGGTTGACGTCGAAGGTTGTGGTCAACCTCCGAATGCGAGGCCTCAACAGTGACCTCCTCGTCGCTGCTCTCGTAGGCCATGATGTTGCCTGGGTTACCGAACATCCAGTCGAAGAAAGATATGGGCTGGTTTCCCAGCGTTCCGTTCTCCACAGGCGTAAGCTCGATATTTCCGAGAACAAACCTGCGGAGGTACTCGAGGTAGTGCGCGTACAGCCCATGGCCGTACGCCTCGAGCTCATCCAAATTGTCCATGCTGCTAGCCCAAGTGAAAAATATCTGTTCCACAGCCTCGAAATCTTGGGGGCTCAGATATTCAATAGACGGTTCACTTGAGCCTAAATGGACTTCGGTCGATCTACCCTTTCCATTTCCCTTCGCTGGACAATCCTTTACACTATGATCGGAACTATCACACTCATGGCACTTTAGGATGTGGCCGTCTCTACCTCGCGGGTTTCCCCGCCTACCTTTACCTTTGCCTGAGGTCTCCCCACGGCCTTTTCCCCTGCCTTTTCCCCCGAAAAATATCTCATCATACTGATCATCTGAAAGCCTCTGGAGGACAGCCGAGATGCCTCGTCCGTTCAACCTTCGGCGACCCCGTTTGCCTTTCCCTTTTCCTTTGAAGTTCCTCCGTATCCTCCTCCTAACACGACGCACTTGTTTTCGTGTAAACCTCCTCCACCTACGCTTCGCTTGTTGTAATAACCAGAACAGGTGTTCAGCACGCTGGTTGTCCCCTTCCATTTGCATGGTATCTGACCAATCTAGGGGTTCGATACCATCTGATGATATGGCATCGGCGTCGGTGCCGGAGTCGAAGTCGTCGTTACCTAGGTGATGGCAAAGATAACCAACCCAAGGCTGTGAAGATATGGGTGGTTATCAGGCGCGTTGCCGCGCTGGGGTAGGGCTTGTAACGCCTTGTCAAGTCTACGATGCGCTGTATCTTGCGGGTTTCCCCGCCTCTGCTTCAAGTACTGCGCTTTTGGTTCGTTGCCGAGCGGTTGGCGGTAGCGTAGTGATGAAGCGTATATGGTACCAATGTTGTTGTCTAGACGTCGCACCTCTCGTGTTGCTTCTTGCTCTTGAATTGATCATCGTAAATGTAGTTGGAGTGGTGGCGCAGGGTGGTAGTTGGCCACGAAAATCTGCCGGATAGCGCGAGGATAAGAAGAGCAAGAGCTGGCCGCACGAGAGTGCGGCCAGCTCCGCTACCAAGTCTGAAATGACTCTGGCAAGTCAAATAGCATCCGATTCCATGGGGAGTGGATGGGTAGGATAGGATAAGATCGATGTAATGATCTTTCCAGCACATAGCGAACACAAAGGTAGGTGTCCGGGCAAATAGGGCGCGCGTGCCTTGAGCCAAAGGCAACGGCGCGCAGGCTATACTCCCGATCCTCTATAACATCTCCCAAAGATCTACCCTTAAAGTTGGGGGGCGCATGCGGGCGGTCCTACTGGGGGCTTCGGTGGAGCTCCCTATGGGGCCACGAAGCGCATGAGGGGTGTGCCAACTTAAGTTTTTGGGACGCATGCGGGCGGTCCCACTGGGGGCTTCGGTGGAGCTCCCTATGGGGCCACGAAGCGTGTGAGGGGTGTGCCAAAGTGGGTTTTGGGGGCGCATGCGGGGGGCCCCACTGGGGGCTTCGGTGGAGATCCCCATGGGGCCACGAAGCGGCGCACTGGGTGGGTGAAACGCAGACGGCGGAATGAATGGGCGGAGGTCGGGCCAGACAGGCCCATCGGGGATGTCGAGCCCCCCCGCCGCCGAAGCAGCGGCGGCCGGCGGCGCGCGCGCAACCCGCGGGCTGCCTGCCAATCCTGGCCGCGGGCGGGAGCAGCGAGCGGGCCTCGCGAAAGGGCCCGCGCGCGCTCCTCTGCCCGCGCCCCTGGGACGTAAGCCAGAGCGCGCATCGCGCCGCGACAGCGCCCGGGAAGGGGGCCGTCGGCCCCCGCCAGCGGGCCACGAAGGCCCCGACGCGGCAGCCCCCCAGAGGCCGCAGACGGCCGCGGCCCCAAGAAGAGCCACCACCGTCGAGAGCTGCCTCGGGCTGGCGGTGGATCTGAACAGCGGGGTTAACCGCGAGCGGCAGGGGGCAATGCCCGCCGCCGCTCGACTCGGCCTGAGCGGGCCAGGGGGTCTCTCGCCGCCTGACCCGCTCTGGGCAAGGGGCCCGGGGGCCCCGTGATCAGCCAGGTCAGCCCCCAAGAGCCGTTCACATTCACAGATTGCTTCGCGGCCTTCAGAAATTGACCGATCTGGCACCGAGGAGGTCGCGTTGCTGCGATCTGCGCAGCGCGTGGACCTCGAAGCGCCCGAATCTGCTCCTTTGCCTGCTATGGAGCGCCGCGCTCCACAGCGCGCCTGCGGCGTCGTAGCCGAGCTCGGTGAAGGCCGCGGCTCGGGGCCAAGGGGCAGGCGCCAGCGGGCTCGCGGAATAGGAGCGACCCTAGGATAACTGGAGGGGGCCCGGCAGAAGCGAGGCCACGGGCCACCATGCTTCTATTCTCGACCTGCTCGATCCGGCCCGATGAGCCTCTCCGTTGGCCGCCGATGGCCCTCAGCAGAAACTCCCGAGGGCGCTCTGCAGATCGTCGCGCGACACGGTGGCGCAGCGAAGGGGCGCGGCACCCGCGGCGCCGCTCGCCGCAGGCCCCCGCCTCGCCGCGCGCCCTGCGCGCCAGCCCGCCGCGGGGGGGGCGGCGGGCGCGGGCCTTTCTGCGGGCGCGGCCAGCGGCCGCGTCACTCGCCGAGGGGAGCGGGCGCCTGGCGGGCGGGACCATTGGCCCCCAATGCCCGCCAAGGGCCCCTCCTTCCCCTGGCGGCTCGGGCCCCAGCGATAGGCAGCCCGGGCAGCCACGAGCGGGATGACGTCCCCCGTCTGCAGCAGCGCACCAGGTTAGCAGCGTCGTCATTGCGCCGTGGTCCGTTCGAAGACTTTGACAATGTATAAAAATGTCCGCTGGTCTTCGAAGAACCCGTCGATGGCTTCGTTCAGCGACGGGAACCGATGCGCGCGATCCCGCCCGCTAGTGTACTTGACGTCTCTGAGTCTGGCGACGATCGCCTGCCACGCGACCGCGCCTCCTCTGTGCACCCCGGCGAGGTCATCGCTTGAACCCGGGCGGCCCATATTGCGTAGCAGTGGCTGCCGGCGGCAAGGGCGGCCCGAACAGCAGGTTCGGCACCTGCTGCCCCTTCTGGGCGGCCCGCGTTGGGTGCTGCCCGGGATGACGACCCAGGGGGTCCCCTCTGGGTCCTCGGCCGCCTCTGGCGCGGCCTCCTCGCCGCTGGAAGTGGGTCTTGAATAAGCCTCGCAGCCAAATGGATCGCCCGTGCTCTGGCCGCAGGCCCTCCACGCATCAACTGCGGGCGCGCCCGGCACGCAGCGCGTGGCGGGCTAGGTCCGAGAAAGCTGCAGAGCACTTCTTTCTAATACCATAACCGCTGTGCTCAGAGCATCATCACCATATAGACTCACCAACAACAGCATCATCATCACCACCATCATCATCATCACCATCATCACCACCATCATCCGCATTCTGATGATGATGGTCATCATCATCATCATCATCATCATCATCATCATCATCATCATCATAATCAAATAGAATCATCAACAGCAGCATCCCCATCAGCATCATCACCACCACCACCACCACCACCACCATCATCATCATCATCATCATCATCATCATCATCATCATCATCATCATCATCATCATCATCATCATCATCATCATCATCGTCATCACCATCACCATTCCTCAATATTCCCACCACGGCTCTCCCAAGCTTGGGGACACAGAGTGTCACGCATGGCAGCCTCAGGTGACCTCTCGAACACTCGCCACCCTGACTGCTGGGCTGGCACGGTGGCAGGACTTCCCGCAGGAAGCTGGGTGCCGAACTGAGCTTTCCTGGCCCCGGCGAGCCTCGGCGGCCAATAGGTTCCCCGACCAAGATCTCAGGTGCGGCCCAGAAGCCATAGCGGCTCCTGACTGGCCATCGCTCGGACGTCCACTCCCTGTGCTTCCGTCGGTTTCGTGCGTGGCCTTCTCGCCAGATGCTCAAGGATACTCCTCGAGGGTCCTCGCCGGAGGAAACGTGCACACGTCCGAGCGATGCCACGCCGAGCCCAAAGCGGTCCAAATCTCTCGGTGCGCCGAGAGCGGGGGCCGGGAAGGAGGGGGGGGGGCGCACCGTGGCCCGAGGCACGTGCGCCGACGAGCGGGAGCCAGAGGACGTGCTGAAGTGAGAGGGCGTCGCAGCGTCTGGGAGCTCTTGATGGCCCCGCGAGCACGCCCTCCCCCGTCGACGCTCGCCCCCCCTCCTCCAAGGAGGGGGGCGACGCCGCGGCGCCGTCCGCGGCACGCCCGAGAGGGCGAGCCGGACATACCGCGCCTCAGAGAAGGCATGCGAAAACGCTGGTGAGGCACGAACTGCTGGGCCGCTCGAGGAGCAGGGAGGCGGGAAGAAACAACGGCGCAAGCCTTCGGAGCTCCGAGCGGATTTCTTGGATCGGCGCTGGTCCCCGCTCCCTCGCACACGGAGCGCGCCAGCGCCGATCCGAGAAATCCGCGCGGAGCTTGGAGAAATTGTGTTTCTGCCGTCTTTTGTTCTGCGACACGATCAGGGGCGACGATGGGGGCGAACAGCCCAGGGGAGAGCAATACCTGTATCCGGAGCCGCCGATGGTCCCGGCCTCCGGGCGAGTACACGTAATGCCCGCCCCTGGGCTATTCGCCTCCATCGTCCCCTCCGAAGCCAGGGCCCGCAGAAGCGGGCCCTGAAGCTGGTCAAGAGCGACCGGCCCAGCCCGCCGGCGCCCAATCCGAGCGGGCTGGGCGCGGGGCCCCCCCTGCCCTGCCAGGTGCACGGGCCGTGCCCATCAGGGCGGCCAGGGGAGGGAGGCCTTCGGCGACTCCGAAGGGCGTGGCTTGCAGAGGGTGCGGTTTGCAACTGACACCCTGGGGGGCACCCTGGATCGCGGGCGATGACCTCGACAGGGCTCTCCGTCGCGCCCCGAGGCGGCCCGACAAGGACGGCGTCGTGCTCCCCAGGCCCCAACGGTGCCGATCGCAAAGCACGCCGCAGCGCAACCATACCCTTTGCAGTCGCCGAGGACTGTCCAGGAACGAAAGCGCGGAGAGTCCCCGAGATCCTGTGAGGGGCAGCGATAGCGGGGGACTGGCATAGGGCGGGATGCATCGACCTTGACTCGGCCATAGATCGCCGATAGATCGGCGGTAGGCCCCCGACAGCGAAGCCGAACCTTCCCGTGCAGGTTGGGGCTCCGCAGCCTGGCTCAAGCCGTGAGGGGTAGCCCCCCACCTCGAAGAGGCCTCCGACGCACCGCCTGGGCCGCGCGCCCCGGCGGCGCCCCTCGCCTCGCGCCGCCCTCGACTGCCATTCGGCGCGACTCATCGCCTCGAATGGCTGACGACGCCTCGTTGGCCAGGACCCCCGTTGCCTCTCCCCCAGCTGCGCACGAGGGTAGCGACTGGGAGCTGGTGGGGCAGCAGTTACCTGAGCCCGGGGATGCGGCCGCGCACGGGAGCGAGACGGGGCAGGAGGATGGGCAGGAAGTCCCGAGGTACGAATTTTCGGGAGTTGGTGGGCCCACACCCACCTCCGCTGGGGAGTCGAGTGAACTACAGAGCGTGCAAGCTAGCAACGGGGCTGCCGCAGGCACTGCACGTCCCCTTCTGACTGACCATACCTCAACGACTGGCACCCTGAGCTCCCCCCCCTCGGGGATGGGGAGGGCACGGCGACAGACCCGCACTCGAGGACGAGTGCCCCCCTGACGAGCGGCCCGCCCTCCGCCTCCAGTCCCTCCTCTCCCACCCGCGTACAATCCGGATATGCGACTCTGTGTCGCCCTGAACCCACGAGTGACCTGCTATCGAGAGACCCTCTTCGTTCCGACCCCTCCGCTCCACTCTCTCCTCCTATCACTCGCGCGCCTGCGACGGTGAGTCGCCCTGTTCCCCTACCAGACGAGCAGACCTCACCTGTTCCTTTCCCTGACCACTCCGGCAATGCGACTCTGTGTCGCCCTGAACCCACGGAAGGCTCTGCTTGTCCCTATCCCACCTCCCCCTCCCCCCCAGGTGGACGCGAGTACCGACCAACCTGTTACCCTGTACCCCAAAGCGCAGGAACGACAGCGACGTGACCCCTCCCGAAATCGGCGGGAGGGGTACCACGGAGGCCCCCAGCTACTCAGAGGCCGGCACGAGGCGAGACCTGGACACCATAGCTGGGGGCAACACGCCGCCCTGCAGGTCGCGAGGCCACACCAGTCCACAGACAATCGACGGCCATGACCCCCCAGGACGACCCAGCACGCGGATCGATCAGGCGACCTCTCCCCCTTCCCACCGCGGCGAGAGAGGGGCACATCCCCAGATCGGCAGAGATCACCCCGCTCTCCCCGTTCAACGAGGCGCCACCTCTGGACCTGATAACCCCCCCAACCCTAACCATGCGCCCTCCCCTCCCCCCGTAGACGGAATCCACATTCCCGTAGACGGGGTGGATAGCGAGGCGCACGGCTCCGATCTCCAAGCTGAGCTCGCCGCGCCAACGATCGGCACAACCACCGAAAGGCAGGACTCAACACCGGCGTCTCGGGGGAACGTGTCCAGGGTTGCCATGAGCACCAACATGCCCACGGCATCGCACACCGTCGACGCAGCACACTCCATGGAGGGGGGGCGTGGCCCAGCCGACGCTTCAGCGCGTCGGGTACAGTACGAATCGACGAGCGACTCGGAACCCCCCCTCGAGACAGAGCCAGTTGCGCAAGTCGCCATGTGGATCTGCAACGCATGCAGGTCTCAGCATCCCGCGACGCAGCCTGCCTGCTTAAATCCCCGACCACTCCCAGATCTGCCCGAAGTCCCGGGCAGACCCTGCCCGGGGACGCGCCCCGACCCCGGCACGCACTGGAGAATGAGGGGCAGCAGCGTGCTCTGGCCATGCCAGAGGTGCCTTGCCCTCACGCCCGTCGCCGAAGAGCACTGCGCCCTATGCGACCAGGGGCGGCCGAGGGACTTCGATCAATGGGGCCCCCTGGAGGACGAGGCCGACCTGCTATGGGCCCCCAGAACCCCCCACCAAAGCGCAGCCCTCACTGACATGATGAACTGGTTTGCGGAGGGGTACCGCCGCGACCCATCACAGCATCAGGCTAACCAGACTGGCGGCATCCCCGCCAGAACAGAGGTGGGTGCGCCTGCGAGCGCACTAGGTGCAGCCGACGCCACCAAGCTTCTCTGGTCCCTGAGCGGCCACGACCGCGTAATCCGGCGAGGCGGAATTGAGCCGCACGCGTACGAACTCCTTGCGATACGATTCGCGCACCTGCACCAGAGGGTTCAAATCGCGTGCCCTGAGCCATTCGGCCGACCCCCCGCCACGCGAGAGGAGCAAAGTATCGCCAACGCCCATGCGCAGACCTTGGAAGAGGCAGCAATGCAACTCAACATGGGACTGCAGCCGCAGCGTGCAGGGCAGGGACTCGACCTATTCCCCCACGCAGGAGTGGAAGCAGGGCCCCCCGACCGTACGCTAGTCAGAAGGGCACTCACATGGGAATGTAGGCGTGGCAGTATGTCCCTCCTCTCCACACGCGACATGTTAACATGGGCGCGACTCACAGCGACGGGCGCCCGGATCGCGCCGTAGATGCCATCGGCGCATCGCCTGCAGGCTTCACCAGAGCATGTCCGGAAGTCATAGGACAGCACCTGCGGGGCTCGGGGGACGTCCCCCTCCTGGTACACGGCACCTACGGGGCCGGAGGCATGCGACTCTCCACGACAAGGCCAGTCACGGCGACATGGCCCAGGAGAGACCCCCCCTCGTGCCGCCCCACGGCTTTCACCAGCACATGCAAGCACAATGCGGTACCTGCGGCTCCTGGAAATTCCGAGGAAGCCCCATGGCAGGGATGTGCCCCGTCTGCCGTAGGTTCAGCTGGACGACCAGGCAAGAGGCCGACTACGACCAAACCGTCCCAGTCCAGGTCACCCCAAGCGACTGGATACAAAGGCTCCCCTTCGACTGCCTGGGCGACGCCGCCCGCCGCCCTCTCAGCCCTGGCGCACGCAGCACAAGCATACGCGCCGCTATGTTCACCTGGGGAGGGACAACTGATCAGCTACACCCCCTCCTGGTTGGTGGGTGAGTTGCTCCTAACCTGAAAATGGATGGTCGACTCGGAAGACTCTACGTGGGCGAACCCAACGGCGGGCGATCACCAACACGGGGCCGCGGCGGCGCTCTCCGCGCTATGCGGATCGGACCTTCGGTATGCTACGGATTTAGCGTATGTTATCCGAGCCCAAGCCCTGAGGAACCGTGAGGTAGCAGAGTGGCTGCCGCGAGCCATTACCACCGCACAAGAGACCATCCCACCCGCCATTGGCACGGACGACTGCCAAGCGCAAGGCGGCAGCCTCAACGAACTAGGGGGCATGAACAGACTCGAGCATTACGGGCTCTCCAGTAGGGGCGTGGACTGGATTGCCCACGTGACAGGTCTCAGCAGACATCAGACCGAGCTTCCCGACGACCCCCTCTTTCTCGCGCGGCGCCAATACGGGAGCGGCATGACCGACGAAGAGCAAGAGGTAGCACTAGAAGGGATGGCGGCTCTCGCAGCAGCAGCACAGCACGAGCGCCGCTACGACATTGCCAACCTGCGACCCATGTCCCCGCTTAGCAGAGCGCCGATGCGCATGGTGGTCAGACGGCTCCGCGAAGATACCGCCAACACAAGCTCCAGGGCAGGCCAAGCGGCCGCCGCATCAGCACATGCCGACAGAGAAACTGTAGACGCAGGCAGCGCCGCCGCGGGTGAGCAGGCCGAACACGCGCCACCCCCCCCACCCACCGTGAACAAAGTGAGCTTGGACCCCCAGCGCACACGAACAGCACCGGGCCCGCGGCGCCCATGGAAGTTGACGCAGGGCACGACACCGACCTAGCCCACGACCTGACACACAGGAGAAGCAACAGGCCGCGCATAGGAGTGACTGGCGGGCTCACAGACCGCGCTGGTCAGCTAACGCGGACCATACAAAACGAGATCGCTTACGTTAGACAGGCCATTGCAAATCGCACGCTGCAGAACTACACGTGGAGCGGATACCTGGTCCCTTTCCTGTGGCTGTCAGCCGTCGAGGGCACCAGAGAGGCACTACGACTGTCGCTTCGGACCGCCGGAGTACCACTCAACGGCTTCTGGACCATGGTAGAATGGTGGGAGGGAAGAGGCGTGGCGACGAGCGGAGACGCACTCGTAACCCTACGAGGAGAGGCACACACCCTCTCACATCGGAGCGGCCTGTACGTCCCCTCCCCCCAGGAATGGGGCTACTTACACGCACGGCTACAGGAGCACCTGATCGACCTCGCGGACCCACGCGGATGGGTACAGGCCGACGTGATGTCAGGGCCACAAGGAGCAGGCGCACTGCCCCCCCGGGG